CGTGATCACCCGCCACAGCCAATTGCTTCACTATCCCTTCCAACTGCACAAACAGAAGGGGAAATTTAAACTCAAGATCCAATCAAAAGCCCTCTAAAAATAACACCACAAAGTACCTCAAGGGCGGCATTTTTGCGCTTCTCGTACAACTTATCAGAGAGATTACGCAAAACAGAAGCAGGAATCACAGATAACGCTTCTGTAGTAGCCATATCAAATATATTAAAAACCCTAAAAAGATCCTTCAGACAAAAACAAAAAGGAATAATAAAACCAGGAATTTCCCAATTCTCTTTTATCCAACAAAAACATCTAAAGGCAGTTTATTTACTATATACGGGCAGTAAGTATCAAAGGAAAAGCCGTAAGAAATAGATCTAAAAAGGAAACAAAATCAGAGAAAATTCGAAGCATTGAATTGAGGATATTTTTTCTTCTGGGGTTTTTGGTTTCGTTTAGAGGTGCAGTCAAAAAGGGGAGAGGGAGAGGAGCGGTTCACTTGTAAGGGTGCTTTATCGGCCGGATCGAATTAACGTTTTGATTTATCCGTTATGATTATAAAAATAGTACTTCGCTGGTCATTGAACAAGACAATGGGGCTAATTTATATTGGATTAATGATTATCGACAGTTTATTCACTAAAGCAAAAAATAATAATTGTACTCTAATTATTTTGATTGCATAGCTAAGAATAAATACTTCAACTTCTAAAATCCAATTTGGAAAGAGCCAAAAGTCATCATGAAACTATGGTGACATAATATATTATCTTGTTCACCATGTACTCTTTGGTAATAGAATAAAAACCAAATCCAAAGACCAAATCTTGCACCTGAAATTCTACTGTACTAGTCAGCTCTTTGCAATCACTTGAAAAAGGATTGTACACATGCATTACTAAACAAAGGATCACGTATACACAGTAGTCCGTGACACGAGCCAAATCCAATAGTACTTTATATACATAGGGGTAAAAGGGTAAATATAAAAATTCTTAACGGGTTAATAGTTTATCCGATAAGAAAATTGAGTAGTTCGCCTCTAAACCGTTAAGCCGTTAATTATAAAATCTCAAGCCGTTCACCAACTATTACCCCGATAACCCAATACCAATAAGCTAGTAATTCATCGGTTCAGTTTGGTTAACGATTATGGTTCGGTTTTGAACAATCCTAAAAAGTTAGGATAGTATCGGCAACCAAGTCTCTCCAATGTGTTGCCCATTACTCTTTTGAACGCTTCTCGAAATGTTTTCCCTTATTTTTTTCCTTTTTCTCCTTTTTTTAAAGGTTTTGTCTTCTTTTTTTTTGTTCAAACTATACCTATTTATATTATATTAAAGAGGAGTATGAAAGTACAAGAGAGGGATGAATTGTTGCCTAATTAAAATTTAGTCGGCTAATATGAATATTAGTTGACTAATCCACGAGATAGAAGGAGTAAAAGCAGTAAAGAGCAAATAGTAAGACACACATGATTTATACTGGTTCGGTACCGTTGTGGTACTTACATTCAGTTTCCTTGGGTAACAAGGGTTCCCTTAAGATCTTGAATAAATTTACACGATTGATAGTATCCTTTTGTTTACCATCAACATATAAAATCAGCAATTGAGTTCTAATCAAGTGACACAACTTTCTTTTGTACTCTAGATCTCTCTATCTTTTGAGACACTGATAACTCAGAATTACAGTGTTTGAACTAAGAAGTAGACACATTTGAAATACTCTTTTTGTAGTTGCGTAGTTTTCTTCTTGAGAGAGCTTCCCTTTTTATACCAGAGAAAAGAGCCGTTAAATCCTTATTGGAAACAGGAGGCATAAGATCTTTGATTAAGGGGTTTGACCTAAGAGATGCCTCTTTGAATCTTGCTCTTTGACTGGCCCAGACTCGAATGTGACCTTCCATGTTCCGGCTGATTTCAAGGAGCGTATTCTTCGAAAACTGGAATGAGTTCCCTTGATTGAGTAAAAAATTCTTCTTGATTGACCATTAATGATTGTAACTGAATCTTCGTTCACTCCTTGAGTTGAGCTGCCTCTTAATGATTATTAATGTAGTAACTAATTCTTTCTTCTTTCTTTATTTTGAATCCAGTAGCAATCTTGCTAATTATCTTCATTCTTTCCTTTTTGTTTACCCTGAAAATATAATAGAAGATAATATTGTCATCATTGAAACTTAACCTTAAAACCTAACAATCTCCCCTTTTTGATGATGACAATCAAGAGCGAGTAAGCAGGATTTAGAGAATCTTAAGATACTTCCCTTTAGGAGTTGCTCCCTCTGAGCTAGTGCTTCCCTTGAGTTGAATTATTCCTATGTTTGGAAAGATGTGCTCATGTCTCCCCCTGAGTGTTTGCTCCCAGTTTTTCTTCCCCTTTGACATCAATAAAAAAAAAAGAGGAATAACATACAAAAACACAAAGCATATATAATAAACATACTAAAGGGGTTAGAGCAGTAGAGCCTTCAGCAGAGGCTTAAGTTAGTACAGACCCAAAAAGTAATAGTCTAAAAACCACACAAAAAACATAAGTTGTTTGTCACAAAACAGCCAGAGATAATTAATGACGTCCCAGAAAGTATTTGAGGGTGTTGATCACTTTGGTGCAGAAGGAGTCATCGGAGTTGTCAACATTTTTGACGAGTTTGTCCATTTTTTCAGTCATGGAATTGAAGGCCCTTTTTCCCTGTCTCCTTGTAGCCCCGATGTCTATCCGTAGCTTAGCTACATCGGTACATGTCTCCTTAGTGACTTCTTTTAATTTATTTACTTGTTCTTTCATTTCCACCAGTAGCAGCTTGACTTCATCAAGTTATTGTTGAATATGTGGAAGACTCTGGGAGGTAGTCGACTGAGGGACTGGTTGATCAACTAGAACATCTACAGGAGCTGGAGCACTTTCAACCTTGGCCCTTTTAACCCATCCATTTTCACCCAATGAGTAACCCATCATAGAGAAGGTTGTTTTATCATAGGTACTAAAGATGTGCTTGGGAGTAAAGGGTGCTAAATCAACCTTCATAACTTCCAGAATATGAGAGACAAGAATGTCATAGGGCAGACAAACAGCAGACGAGGAAATCTCCCTGATACTCTCAAGCATATATTGACGGATCCATACAAACCAATTAAGGCGCTTGTTGTTGACCAGACAGTAGAGGACAAAGACATCTCTAGTGGATAATGAACTTAGGGACCCAGACCTGGGAAGTAAAGTGGTGGAAATCATGTGGGCCAAAATCTGGTGTTCAAATTTCAGATTTTTGGGGCCAATATCAGGGGGATTATCAGACAAAAAGGTTTTTGCTTCTTCAAAAGACACATCAAAATCTTTGGACCAAGAATTTTGGATGAATATCATACCTACTAAATTTGGCAGAAAAGATCTTTTCAAATTGGTGGGATTCCAACACAATTCTAGTATCTAAGACCATAGACTCTAAGTCATCCTTATCAATCACAAACAGATTTGCATAAAACATTCGCACAGGTTCTTCATACACAGAATTTCCAAGAGTGTCAAACACAGGGGAAAGGTGTTGGAAATTAAAAATTTCAGTCACATCACAACGAAGACTTTGCATAAGAGAGAGACTTACACATCGTCCATAAGCCATGGATTTTGACTTATAGGACTCAAACCTTGCCTTTTCACTGGGACCATAGAAGATCAGCTTGTCTTTTGGACCGAAATCCAAGCATTTTCCCTTTTTGCATGCAGCCTTTTTGGGGATTTGCTCCATGGGTCGTTTTCCGGCCTTTTTCTGGCTAATGGGTTAATCTTCAGATGAAGCACTGTTGTCATTATCGGTCTTGAGTAAGTCTGAATCAGTAGATGATTCTACATCCACCGTTCCTTCTGTGTTGGTTTTTTTTTAAACCTACGACTTCTTCTGGTTGGAGAGTAAGGATTTCTTTTGGCCATGGAGAAAAGTGAAGGAAGATGTAAGTCAGAAAGGTGTTTGGTAATAAATTAGGAAGGTGTTTTGGGAAGATAGAGGTTTTTATCAAGCATTTAAGAAGAGTGAAGAGGCGTCTTGGTTATCGGAAGGGTCAAGTACAGACGGAAGTGATGGTTTGGAATGACTGCACGTAATAATTACACCTTTACAGAAAAATTAATTAGTACACGAATAATTAAGGAAATAAAATATACAAAAATCATACAGAATAATTTAAACAATTTAACAGGCAATTGGTTTATGAATTTGGCAGAATGCCAATCTTTTTCCGAAGGATACAAAATCTCTCTTCTAAAAGAGGTTTAGTAAAGATATCTACAAGTTGAGAATCAGTACTAGTGAATTCTAATGCAATATCATCTTTGCAACATGATTACGAATAAAATGATGTTTAATTTCTATATGTTTTGCCCTAGAATGATGCACATAATTTTTAGATAGACAGATAGCAATTGTGTTGTCACAAAAAATAGGAGTAGCAGTAAGACATAAATCATAATCAAGGAGTTGATGCATGATCCATAAAACTTGTGTACAACAGGTTCCAACAGCTAGGTATTCTGCTTCAGTTGTTGAAAGAGCAACACAATTTTGTTTCTTGATGTGCCATGATACTAAGGCATTTCCCAGTAATTGACATGTCCCACTGGTACTTTTCCTATCAGTTTTGTCTCCTGCAAAATCAGCATCTGAATAACCTCTTAAAGAAAAATTGTTAGATTAATCATACCAAAGTCCGAATTCAGTAGTACCAATTAAATATCTAATAATACGTTTGACCACAGTCAAATGTGATTCCTTTCGAGCTGACTGAACTCTAGCACATTTGCATATACTAAACATAATATCTGGTCGACTAGCAGTTAAATAGAGTAGAGATCCAATCATTCCTCTATACATGGTTTCATCAACTATTTTTCTATTGTTGTCATCATCTAGCACAGTAGTTGGACTCATAGGAGTACTAATAGCCTTAGCATTTTCGATTCCAAACTTTTTGATAAGCTCCTTGGTGTATTTTGATTGGTTGATAAAGATTCCTTTAGGAGACTGCTTGATTTGAAGTCCAAGGAAGAAAGTTAGTTCTCCCATCATGCTCATCTCAAATTCACCTTTCATGGAAAGAGCAAATTCTTCACAAAGAGTGGTGTTAGGACTTCCAAAAATAATATCATCAACGTAAATTTGAGTAATGAGATTACCAGAATTTGATTGCTTAATAAAAAGAGTTGTATCTATGTTACCCGTTTGAAACCTTGACTTAAAAGAAATGAACTTAAACTTTCATACCAAGATCGCGGAGCTTTTTTGAGACCGTACAGGGCTTTAGTAAGCTTGTATACATGGTTTGTAAAAGTAGCACTTGCAAATCCAGGAGGTTGCTTTACGTACACTTCTTCAGATATAAAACCATTTAAGAACGCATTTTTGACATCCATCTGATACAGTTTGAATCCTTTGTGGGCGGCAAAGGAAAGTAAAATTCTGATGGATTCAAGTCTTGCCACAGGTGCAAAGGTTTCATCATAGTCGATTCCTTCTTGTTGAGAGTAACCTTGAGCCACTAGTCTTACTTTATTTCGAACGACTTGGCCTGATTCATTCAGTTTGTCTCTGAACACCCATCTAGTCCCAACAATAGAGGAGTTTTGAGGTTTTGGAA